ATGAATTTGCTCTCCCTCTGGTATACCTGCACCAACTCTCTCTAAACTTGAATCAAATAAAATTTTGGACGAAATTGTTTTGTTCTGAGACAGGGTCTCAGTCTGTTGCCCAGGCTGTAGTGCCATGGCACAATGACAGCTCACTGCAGCCTCAACCTCCTGGGCTCAAGCAATCCTCCCACCTCAACCTCCCAAGTAGCTGGGACTACAAGGGCATGCCATCACACCTGGCTAATTTTTGTGTTTTTTAAATAGAGATGAGGTTTCACTGTGTTGTCCGGGCTGGTCTTGAACTCCTGAGCTCAAGTGATCCGCCCGTCTCAGCCTCCCAAAGTGCTGCGATTACAGGCTGCAAGCCACCATGCCTGGCTTGGATGAAATTATTTGGATCAATAACATAAGGTAGCTAAAAATTCTGCCATCATTTTTACTTTGTAAAATGTTAAGGACATTAATACTTTCCCTATTTTTACTGATAGCAGGGAGAAGACAATGTACATGTGTATAGCCCTTCTGTCGACCTCTATAAACAAGGTAGTAAGCCATTTATATTTTGTATCCTAGTATATCTGAAATATAAATCCTCTTCATGACTACTACAACAGCCCTTGCCTATGCCCTAGACATCCCTTACTTTACCAGGACTTATTAAAATAACTGTCACACTACAACCAGTCTAATCATTTTGTTTGTTTGTTTGTTTGTGACACAGTCTTGCTCGGTCACTCAAACTGGAGTTGCAGTGGTGGATCTCAGCTCACTGCAACCTCTGCTTCCTGAGCTCAAGTGATCCTCCCACCACAGCCTCCTGAGTAGCTGGGACTACAGGCATGCACCACTATGCCCAGCTAATTTTTGTATTTTTAGTAGAGATGGATTGCCATGTTGGCCAGGCTGGTCTCAAACTCCTGACCTCAACTGATCTAGCAGCCTCAGACTCCCGAAGTACTGGGATTACATGCATGAGCCACTGCGCCCAGCCAGTCTAATCGTTTGACATCTATCATCCACAAAGAATTGGGAATAATCTGTCTAAAATTGCAACATAAACTGGTGCTATTATTGTTTTTTTAAATAGGAACAGTCATTTTTATGCTTTATTTAAAAAGTCTTAACCAGTCTAATTTAGTTTTCTATTTTATATACATATATTTACTATTATTATTATACTTTAAGTTCTAGGGTACATGTGCACAACGTGCAGGTTTGTTACGTATGTATACATGTGCCATGTTGGTGTGCTGCACCCATTAACTCATCATTTACATTAGGTATATCTCCTAATGCTATCCCTCCCCCCTCCCCTCACCCCATGACAGGCCCTGGTGTGTGAGGTTCCCCACCCTGTGTCCAAGTGTTCTCATTGTTCAATTCCCACCGATGAGTGAGAACATGTGGTGTTTGGTTTTCTGTCCTTGCGATAATTTGCTCAGAATGATGGTTTCCAGCTTCCTCCATGTCCCTACAAAAGGGATGAACTCATCCTTTTTTATGGTTGCATAGTATTCCATGGTGTGTATGTGCCACATTTTCTTAATCCAGTCTATCATTGATGGACATTTGGGTTGGTTCCAAGTTTTTGCTATTGTGAATAGTGCCGCAATAAACATACGTGTGCATGTGTCTTTATAGCAGCATGATTTATAATCCTTTGGGTATATACCCAGTAATGGGATGGCTGGGTCAAATGGTATTTCTATTTCTAGATCCTTGAGGAATCACCACACTGTCTTCCACAATGGTTGAACTAGTTTATAGTCCCACCAACAGTGTAAAAAGTGTTCCTATTTCTCCACATCCTCTCCAAAACTGGTGCTATTATTGTTTAGAGATCTGGCAATCATTTTTTAGTTGCCCATGGAATCACAGCAAAGATCCATACCACAGTTATACCGTGAGACTCTGGAAAGAGACCCCCCCCACATCTCCACGCCTCCTCCTTTTGAAGGGGTTGGCTAAACCACTGACTGTGAGCCAGGAGTCGGCTCTTCTGACACTGCCATGTACAGGTGCACAACTCTGGGGATTCTGAGAATCCTAAGTTCAGATTGTGTGTCTTTGGTGATTATAAAGCTATATTTTGTTAAGTCAGGTTATATTTCATTTTTCCCAACTTTATGTATTACTTGTAAATATTTAGACATGTAGGATATTGAGACTTCTACTCCGAGACTACAGATGTTAAGCCCATCTAAATTTCCACATCGTCCTGATTCAAGCACCAGAGATGGAAATAAATAAATTATGCCCTTCATGGCCACAGCCCTACTAAATTCTTCAGTCTGCCTCCAGTTTCTAACTACAATGAAAGATGGTCATATGAATGGGGTTATTCTTGTCATACCGACTAAAACAGAGGCAAAAGACAGGGAAGAAAGCATTCAAGGCACAAAACATGGCTCCAAGAATGGAATTCACTGTAAGCCTGCATGCTGAAACTGCCTGTTGTAACCTGAAACTAGTTTTACCCAATAGCTACTGAAACAACCTCCTTTGACTCCAAGACCCATTGCCTGTCACTCACCAATCAGAGCTTGCCAGCTCTCCACACTTGACTAGTGCCAATGAACTTTCTGGGAAAACAATATGTAACACTTCTTCTTTTTATGAAATCTCCAACTTTCTTTTTGTTCTTCAGGCATAAGGAAGACCATCCAGTCTGTACGTATACCTGAACTGCAATTCTTGCTTCCCCAATCAAATCTTAAATTTAGATATTTTATTTTGACTTAAACACTAGCCTTGTTATACTTATCGTGTATTAAAATCTAAACTCTTTTACCATGCTCTACACAGCATGGTATATAACATCTTTGTGTTTTCGCTCCTGCTGTTTTCTCTGATTGAAATGGTCTTCACAACTTTTCTGGCTAATCCATTAATCTCTTAATATACAGCTTTTAAATCTCTAAGAACTTCTCCAGACTTTTATTATACTTATTCAATTTTCCCACAGTACACTGTTCAAACTTCATTCTTATCACTACCTTATTAACTATATAGCTGTTTTTTTTCTGTCTCATCTAAAGAGAAACCTGTAAACTTTTGAAGCCAGTGTTCATATCTTATATTATTACACTAACATATATGTGCTGAACTGAACAGTATGGTTAAAAATACACATTATTTCACATTTTATTGAACTTGTAAAGACAATTGTTTTGAAAATACTATTTACCAGTTACTAAAGTTGAAAGCTAAGTAGTATTAGTTAAATAGTGAAAAATTTTAATGAATTGTATGAAAGAATGTTCAATCTTTGTGAAAGCCATTCCAGAGTTTTAAGTACTCATTTTCTTTTCACAATGAAATATGTACCATATAATTACAGCAGAGGTATTATAATATAAAAAGCTGTGAAAACTAAGCTTTAACTTTTGCATAAAGTGTTGAAGCTATAAGTGCTTTTCCCTACCAAAGCAAAATACCAATGCTAGTTCTAAAGACAAAAATTTTGTATATATTATACAGGATTAATAATCTTAAAGACTAATACATATGAAATTGTATTTAACTTATAAAGACATTTTAAAAAAAACAAGAAGCTATATTTCAAGAATTTTTTTTTTTTTTTTTTTTTTTTTAAATTTGAGACAGAGTCTCACTCTGTCTCCCAGGCTGGAGTGCACTGGTGCAATCTCAGCTCACTGCAACCTCTGCCTCCCCCGTTCAAGCGATCCTTCTGCTTCAGGCTCCTGAGTAGGGGGGATTACAAGCATGCATCAACGCTTAGCTAATTTTTGTATTTTTAGTAGAGAGGGGTTTTGCCATGTCGGTCAGCCTGATCTCGAACTTCTAACCTCGAGTGATACTCCCGCTTTGGCCTCCCAAAGTGCTGGGATTACAGGCATAAGCCACCATGCCCAACCTATTTTAAGATTTTAAATGTCATTATCCATTTAGTTTAAGACATACAATATTTATTTTAAAAGTATTATTTTTGTTGAGCATCTTGTTTCAAAGTTCAAAAATTAAATTTTTAATGTCACATAATGTATATAATCTATTAATAGCCTTCTTCCAACTAATAACAATTGGTGGAATCCAACATGTGGATCTGAGTCAGCCTCAGTTCTTAACTATTGTGATGAGGGAAGCAAGATATTTGCATTCTCGAACATCTCTGGCCATGAAGTATCTTGCTTGAAATAAAAATTGAAGTTTTCAACCCCATACATTTCTATAGGTTAAGTATTAATATTACTCAGTGTTAGCAATAATCTTACCTACTACTGATGCACTGACCTGCTTAGCGTTTTTTTCTGTTTCCTGGCCTAGGCCTCCTAAAATCTGATAGTTACTGCATTTCTAGCTTTTACTGTTATCCTGCTTGAGTTGATCTCCTGAAACCCTGTCAACCTTCCCTTCCCTTGCAAACTCATAAACTCCATCTGACAACCCTCTATCCATATGAAAGCTAGTCACACTGGGAGGAAATTGATGCAGCCATGTTTCTGACTTTGGAAACTATCTATCATCTGGAATTTTCCTTAGAGTAATGTCTTCTTGCATGGGCAGAACCCCTTTCCTTATGTCAGGGTATGCCAAGTCCTTTGCACTATCATTCTCTAGGTATTGTGCTTGAAGGTTGCTTTCCCAAGAGTCAGTTTGACTGTATTTAACCTATGCATAGCTCTTTACTTTTCCACCTCACTAGTCCCAGCTTTCTAAACCAACCCCACTGGCCTTTGGTCCTGGGGTGCTATCTTACCCCGTTCGTGAGGTTATGGTCTGACATTTATTATACAAAATAACAGGGGGACTAGGGGAAGTTTATTAAGCAAACTTCAATTTTAAGAACTATATTGATAATAGGAAAAGAGATAACAAGTTCTTTGAATCATCCACAAGGATATGGTTTGAACGTCGAGAGTTCCTTAATAGAATTACTACGAAAGTAGAAAAACATTGAAATATGATAGCCCATATAGTTAGGACTATTTACAGTTAGTGATCATATTATGTACTAAAACATTTTCATTGTATGGTATATATCTTACCTTAACTTCCACATGTGCCATCAGTACTGCAAAATTTGTTAGGTGGTTACAAGAGCATGTAGTATGTGTCTTATTTGTTGTCAGGAGCCGACAGCCTTGTGTTGACCAATAACCTGTCATTGTACGCTTGGAGTAGCTCCAAAATGAACAGTTAGGGTTGAAATTTTCCTCTGACTGCTAAAGGGGAAAAAAGTCCATAAAATCAACAACTACTTTATGATCATGTAAATTAAGTTGGCATTTTCTTTACATATAATACAACTTCATATTCTATCCTTTTTTTAGAGATGTCTACCAATGTTTCCATGAATGGGCCTCATCAATTCTAAGGGAAACTGAATATATGCTGTTGTTTGTTCCCTCTGACTACAGAGGAGTGCACTATTTTTTTAAATTAACAGTAAAACAACATACTAGTATCAATGTTTCAAAATCACACTAATTAATACACATTGCAAAATAAAGAGGTTAATTGCTCTTAACAACCAACATCTGAATGGATGATCTTTAGAAATCTTTGTTGAATTTACAACCTCAATCTTTGTATATATGCAAAAATATATCTTCACATGGACATAATTGCTTGAAATATCAAATATAGAACCATGTCTAGTTCTGTTAATGTACTCCTATTCTTCTTTAAAAAACATAAATAGTATTGTGAATATTTAAGGTATACAACACAATGTTATGAAATACTTGTAGATAGTAGAAAGGTAACCAAAGTGAAGCAAATTAACATATCCATCATCTCACGTAGTTACCCGTTGTTTTCTTGTTTTTGTGGCAAGAGCAGCTAAAAATCTATTCATTTCACATGAATCCCAAATACAATAGAATTTGGCAATATTATCTATGATTTTCAGGCCGTATTTTAGATCTCTACACTTGGACTAGGTCTTTTTAGTTATGGAGAAGCATTTATAAATCCATCTATGAATGCTTTCACCATAAATATTTACAAATACAAGGATGATTCTCTTCCAAATCTTATTTCTGAAAAAAAATTACCACTATATTGTACAAATAATGAACTGCTATATGTCAAATAGAAAAAATATTGAAAGAAAATTAATACACTTAATGTTCAGTGTTATAAAAATATAGATAATATGAACAACCAAGTTAATATGCCATTTTCTTACCTTGATATGTTTAACAGTAAACACCACAGGATCAGCCAAATAAACCTTGTTACTGAACTCTTTGTTTATTGCTGCCGTAATAACAGGAGAATTGACAATAACAGAATGATTTGTGGACAAAGCTTCCGTTCCCAACTTCATACTGGCATTCTCCGTGGACAAATAAGGACCCAAGTTGTTATACAGGACAAAGGCCACTCTGATCTCTCCTAAAATAAATGCAAACTCTGATTAGTTTGTCCATTCTACTTAAATTAGTTAGTACTAATGAAACAGAAAATTAAATTCATATAGTATGTATTCACACAAAAAATTCAGCATTCATTTCAACCAAAGTACCAAGTCATTTATGAGAGGAAAGTCAAATTATGCTAAAACAACTACATACCACTATTTTAAAAAATGAACCTCAATCCCTAACTCACTCCATACTCAAAACTAAATTTAAGATAGATCATACACCTAAACATGAAAACCAGAATCATAAGGCTTCTAGAACAAAATATAGAAAAATATCCTTGAACTTTGAAGAAGGCAAAAATGTCTTCAATAAGACCCCAAAACATTTATCATAAAATGATAAACTAAACTTTATCAAAACCAAAAATCTATCAAAATACATTATTAAGAAACAAGCAGACTGAAATACATTTAAAAATAAGATTCATTAATATATACAGCATTTTTACCAACTAACAATAAATTAATGGCATTTTAAAATGGCAAAAGACATAAATACACACTTTAGAAAATAAATAAAGGAAAGGCCAATAGACACATGAAAAATGATCAGCATCATTAGTAATTAGGGAATGAAAAAATAAGACTACATTGAGTTACCATTTCATACCCACAAGAATCTCTAAAATTGAAAAGACTGACCACACTAATGTTGATAAGGATGTGGAAGAAACGGAACTCTCGTACACTTCTGGTGGTAGTATAAAATAGTTCAACCATTTGGAAAAAATGTTTGACAATTTCTTATAAAATTAAACATACATCTACCTTTCCTAGATAAGTGGAAACATATATCCACCACAATACATGTGGATATATATCCTTATTCTTAACAGTCCCAAACTGGAAACAAGTCAATTATTATTTATAGGAGGATAAATAAATTATGGCATATTACATAATAGAATATACTATTCATCAATAAAGAACAAACTATTGATACATGGAACATCATGAGAAAGTCTTAAAAATATTTTGCCTGGTTAATGAATTCAGACAGAAAATGGTACATACTGTATGATACCAGTTATATGAGGTCTTAAAACACTGGCAAATTTTGGCCGGGTGTTGTGGCTCATGCCTGTAATCCTAGCACTTTGAGAGGCTGAGGCGGATGGATCACAAGGTCAGGAATTCAAGACCAGCCTGACCAACATGGCGAAACCCTGTCTCTACTAAAAATACAAAATTTAGCCAGGCATGGTGGCACACGCCTGTAATCCCAGCTACTCAGGAGGCTGAGGCAGGAGAATCACTTGAATGAACCCGGGAGGCAGGGGTTGCAGTGATCTGAGATTGTGCCACTGCACTCCAGCCTGGGTGACAGAGTGAGACTCCGTCTCAAAAAAAAAAAAAAAAAAAAAACTGTCAAATTTTGTCTACAGAAATAGTAATGAGAAGAAAGTTTTATTAGGTGAGGAGAGGGAATAAGAAGACTGGTAAAAGACATGGGAAAATTTTCTGGGTACAGAAGAGATTTATTTTCTTTCTTTTTGTGATATTATAAAAGAATGTACAACTGTCAAATTCCCAAGCTAAATGCTTCCTCAAGCTAAATGTATATTTTAGTGTATGTAAATTATTTCTCAATTGCAACGTTAAGGAAAACACATAAGAATTCACAGTCTTTACTGTCTTAAAACTCAGCTGTCATGTTATTTTAAGGTCACTGTTTCCACAAAGTCACCAAGTCCTTCCACCTTATTTTTTCCCTTTATGACAGTCTCTTAAATGTAATCCTCTATGAAGTGAATTGTCTCTTAACACACTTTTAAAAATTGTATTATTTCCTTTATTTAAAAAAGTCAAGCCCTATATCTTATTTCTGGCCCCAACTACTATGGTTACTAAGAAGAGGAAGTCACAGTCCCTATCTCTGAATCTTAGAATCAAGTGGAAAAAAAGAAAATTGAGTCATGTGAGGAGATACGCAAAAAAAAAAAAAAAAAGTTACTTTTTTTTTTTCTTTTTTTCTTTTTTTGAGGAGGAGGGCTATTTAACATCTAACTCCCGTGTTTGGGAAATTCCCTACTCTTCGAGATTTATAGACACAAAATGGACATACACTTGCTTTCCTAGCTTATTGTGAATAGGTTGCTCTAGGCACTTCTGCTAGATGCATCCAATCAGATGCAGTAGCCTCAGATATCAGATGAGGAGCTAGTGATACAAATAAGCAGGAAGTGGTACAGCAACAGCAGCAGCAGCAGCGGCACAGTTACTGCTACAGAGTTCACTTGGGGCAGCAGTGACATTTCACAGCAGTGATTTTGTGATGTAGTATAGGCTGCTGTCAGCCTCCTTGCTCTAGTGTATCTTCTGGGCCTGATTCTCCAGCCGTCTCAGTGATTCTATGAGATATCCGTTATCATTTCCGTAATCCAGGAAAGAGATTATGATGAGAGCTACATAATGGAAGAGAGCATTCTTATCTAATCTACAAGTGTTAATACAGTACTGAGCAAATCATAGTAATTCACTAAATACTTATCTGTTATAACATACAATTTAATTTTGTTCTTTCCCTCTAGATTTGGTATTAAAATGCTGATTTTTGAAAGGTGAAAATTAAGAACATTCATGCATTTTTCTTGTTGACATTAAAAACTTCAATTTTAATTGGTTTATAATTGGCTGATAATTCATGCCAATTTCCACTTCCAGGATGGCGTCATTTTGCCATCCCACCGTGTGTTACCAGCACACTTAGTCACTGGCAATTCTCTCATATTCTCTGCTCTAAAATGAATGCTTAAATGTGACTTTAACAAACAAAAACAAAAACAGGCTGGGTGTGATGACTCATGCCTGCAATTCCAGCACTATGGGAGGCTGAGGTGGGAGGATCCCTTGAGGCCAGGAGTTCAAGACCAGCCTGGGAAACACAGAGAGACCCTCTTCTCTACTAAAACAAAACAAAACACACAAAAAACAATTATACGTTAATTTAGAAAATAAATGAACACAGAACTTAATTTGACTAATATATTTCTATATGTCTTCGGATACACAGCTTTGTGTCTGAAGTTTCACACATTTATTGTATACTTAAGTAGTGAGTATATAGATGTATAGATGAACCAGGCACTGAAGTACTAGGGTTACATCAGTGAACAAAATTAGACAAGGCCCCTGCTCCCATGGAACTTACTGCCTGGAGGGAGACCCAGGCAGTAAGCAGGCAGATTGAAAAATAATAATAATATTATTTCTTATAATGGTAAGTGAATAAATGCTATGAAGAAACATTGGCATAATCATGGCTAATGGGGAAAGATTGGGAAAGAGGAGTTTACCTTAGAGGAGATAGGGAAGACTCTCCTTATAGAGGTAGATTTATTCTAAAAAGTGAATGATAGAGAGGGTGCCATGAAAAAAAAAAAAAAGTGAAAATTGTATTCTAAGAAGAAAGGTTTAAAAAAACAAAAACAAAAACAAAAACACCCCAAACCTGATGCAGGAACATGCTTGGTGTGTTCAAGAAACAGAATCAAGATTACTCTGTCTGGATCACACAGAACATGCTGAAGACAAATGTGAGGTGTGGCAAATGAGGCAGGAAGGAAGTGGACCAGGTAGCACCTGGCAGGCCTAGTTAAGTCATGAGATTTCATTCTAAGTGTAAGTGGAGGTCAACTGGTCAGATGTATGTTTCAGGAAGAACCCTTTGTCAACAGGATATACTGTTGGAGGGCAAAAGAGTGGAAGCAGGGAAACGATTTAGGAAGCTAATGCAGGAATCTAATTTTGCTCTACTTAATCTTACTGCTGTCTCAAAAATTTTCTTAGTCAAATGAGTAACATAAAAATGATTTCTAAGTTTAGTCTTACAATATTTCTAACATTTACAGACCATTTTATTCTGATGACAACAAATGTAGTTGTTTTTCTTGATATTATTTATCAACACTGTTCACCCTGCAATATGAAATATTAGCATTAAGTTGGTGACTAGGAACTGAGGTCATCTTCCTATCACCTGGCAGATTAAACAATCTCCCTTTCTTGGCAAAAAGGAAATATCTGTGTGTGTGTGTGTGTGTGTGTATGCATATATGTACAAATATGGGAAAGAGGGGTCTATTTTAGAGGAGATATATATATACACACATACATATTATATATACACACACATCTATACATACATATATACACACATACATATATACACACACATACATATACATGCACATACATGTGTGTAAGTTTAAACATTTTTTAATATTAGTGAAGTTTGGGACATATTTTATAAGATTATTTATTGAATTTTAATTATTTGCAGTGTATTCAATTTAGTAGTAAGCTAAGCTGATTATTTTATAGTTCCATTTCCCAAAATCATCTCCTTATATTTAAATGTTTGTATGCTTTGCAAAGAAAAGCATAAAAACTCCCAAAAAGAAACTGAATAAGCAAAAAAAAAAAAAAAAAAAATTAATTAAAAGTAAAATTTCCATAAAAAATTTTACAGTGAAATCTGCACACTGAGAGTTCCTCCTTTTGAGGAAAGATGTCAGATCCTCTGAATTTTGTTGTCCATAATTTCCTTTATATTTAAGTTTCTGGCAACTGAAAAGTAATGGAACAATTTCCAAATCTGATTGGGAATTTTGTAGAATAAATATCACTGTAATATTTATGGTGCTGTACAGTAGAGAAAGAGGAGGAAGAGGAGAAGAAAGAGAATAGTGTAGGAAAAGGAAGAGGGGAAAAGCTCCTCAATAGTGGATCTAATATTCTGGGCCAAAAAGGAATGAACTGATGCAAGTTCAATTCCCTCAAGCTTAAAAAATAAACTCTAACCTACCATTTCGGCCATTTTGCTTTAAAGTATTTGCAGACAGCTGGATAGTGCTTCCATGGCCCATGTTTTCTGGAAATTTTAGGTCTTCTAAGTTTCCTTCTGTGCTCAGTCTTGCAACTTCCAATTCTGTTAATATCAAAGAGATACCCGTGCTCATTGAGAAACATACCTAAGCTACAATAATTTCCTAAATCATTGCAGTATTTCTGAAATCAAAACACTGGAATTCTCGTTCTATTTGTCATGCTTTATGAAAATCTTTCAGAAAATATATTGTTCGTATTTTATAAAAGTAATGCAAATAAAAGTTATTAAAATTATGTAAATAATACAAACATGTCAATAATAAAGCCTAAAATTTAAAATTCAATCCCAAATTATAATACATTGTCATTGGCCTTAAGTTTCAAAATATAATCTTTATTTTATAAATTAAATAAAAATCCTTTTATAATCTAGAGCTGTACTATCCTATCAATATTGATCTTTAAGCCCAATAAATTTGAAACAGCTTTATCATAACTTCTGAAATAAAAGTGTTAGCTACTCCTAATCCATAATAAAAATAGATTGATATCCTTTATAAGTCAAATAACACGATTATCAAACACTGTTTTATCATTTTCACTCAAATGACTTACTTCTTTATAATGTGAATTCAAAGATACTCTCATTATAAGTGAAATAACTCCTAATAGTCCTGTATTAAGAGGATAAAATTTTAAATAGTATAATACATACATAAAAGTCCTTTAAAAAAACAAACCTCACCGTAAGTGACCTCAGGCTACTATGTTCAATATTGCACCTAATATTGAAATGTCCTAAGAAAGATGGCACACATGATTTTCTATCATTTTAAGCCAATGACAAGTGATGCCCTCTTTATTTTAGAAAAAGAATGACTTTTCTCCATTGAAATAAAGTATCACTCATATCTGGGACACCAGAGATACTTTTTTCTTTTCCCTCTTCGGATATACAACAGTGTCTAGACCTTCTGAATAACAAAGGCCACTTACTAATATTGTCTGTATTCTCCCTGACAATGTCAGTCTTCAAAAGGTTATCAGCCAGCACAAAAGCACTTTCCTCCACAGTATGAAGCAACATGGTGGCCGCACGTAGCTGATCACTTATAGTCAGGTCTCTCCACGCATTCAAAGCTTGTGGCTGAAGGAGGTTGTTAACTGTCTCGACCATTGCCTATATAAGAGGATGAAAAGAATGACAGAGGTCTCTAGTGAACCCACATAGCTGTCAGAAATCCAGGTGTACATGTTGCCCAGCAAGCAAGGATCAGCAGTGTGCATGAGTTCAGTATTGTCCCAGCCTCCCCTGTGACATGCTGCAGCAGAAGCATTCATTATTTTGTTCTGTAAAACCCTAGCTGAGACTTTGCAAAGCAAGAGGAAAACCTGTTTTTGTTTTGAAAGACAACAAATAAAGTCATGCTTTCTTCTTAGAATCAATAACACAAGCTTCAACAAGACTATGATCACATAATTAAATTATTTGGCTGGGGAACTGTTGACAAAAAATTTAAACCAAGAGTTTTACCACATGACTCAGAGAAAATCATTTTTTCTGTACATTACCATAAAACTGGATGCTGAACACAACAGAGATTAAAAGGATGACCATAAATGTGACAATCCAATAATTTGTTGCCTATAGGTTGATGACTCACATAGCAAACCTATCTGTTTTTTAGCCAGCCAGTAAAATGTCAGAATGGGGAAAATATCAAAGCATACATACTCCAGGGGCTTTGGATATGTTATGTACAAAGAGAAATGTTCTTCATGCTGTTTACTACTAAGGAGGGGAATAAACAGTTGAACCTTACTACCTATGGTCCTCAGGTGTTTTATCTTTAAAAAATCAGCAGTAGGTACACCCACACATAGAGACAAAACACTACAGTTCTCACTGCTTCATCCAAAAGAATCATCTCTGTAGTTACAATTTATATATTTCCTGTGGTTTGCTTTATGCTGTCGGTTACAAAGAAAAACAGTTCTCCCAATAAGGTCTTGGGTTTCATTCAAACATAGAGAATTGTAAAATAGAAAGATACAATACCTTCAGCTTGAAAGTGATCATCCCTGAACCCAAATGATTATGAAATATGCATCTAATCCAGAAATAAAGTTGAATAAACAGCCAACACAGGCACAGTTACCAGGCAGCACATAAGTGTTTTAAAACAGGACTCACATTATTGACACATTGGCAGAGGGGCTGGGAGAGACTAGAGAAATACCCTCCACAAGGCAGTGTTTTCTCCTGGCTGGTGTTTTCATAGTAACCAAGTAACAACTGTTAAAAATTCAGCTTCCTAATGAAACACCTTGGCTGTCAATTAACACCAGCTTCAAAAACTAATTTGCCTTTTGATAAAAGTTGTTTTTCTTGATATTTTCCCAGCTATTCCAAGTTTTGGTCAAAAATCAACATCACTGTACTTTTAAGTAAAATAATCCTACTCACAACTTGCATGCTTTGGATTATTTTTTAAAAGAGGAACAACACAAACAAATCGAAAAAGTCTCTCACAAGTTTAAACACTGGACATTTTCATATAGTGTGCTTAGCTCCGTCATTTGTTCTTGGTGTAAAGCATGACCTAGTAGCCAGACAAAAGTATTTCTGGATCACAACAAAATGATCCGCTTTCCAGGAAGTTCTCTATAAGGGAATGCCAACAGGACATGCCAAACAAAGAGATGCCAGATAGGAAACCAAAAAAAAAAAAACTTTAGATATTTTCTGAAGCCAAACAGAAAACAAGAGAACATAGACCTCTTCAGTGTAAAGAAGTATTCTTTCAGGGATTAGATGATACTGTGAATTCATTAAAAATGCTCTGAAAATCCCACATGCAACAGAAATTATGCCTGTTCTTTATGGAGCAGCCATTTTAGCTGCTGATAATCTTAATAATTAGTTAATAATCTTATAATAATTAATTAAAATCTTACCTTAGGGGAAATTTTATTTGGCATAATATATTTCTCTTCTTTCCTTTACTGTTTTTATTTTCATAATTTAAAAAATGCAAGATGAGAAAAAAGGAAAAAGAAACAACTATGGTCAACTCCGAGAACGTTCCAAGAAAGAACGTGTTCCAAGACTAAATTAGGAAAAAACAGAAAGTCTGACTAGACCTATAACTAATACGGAGATTGAATCAGTGATCAAAGCCTCCCAAGAAAGAAAAGCTCAGGATCGGATGGCTTCACTGGTGAATTCTACCAAAGTTTTCTGCACTTAAAGAAGAATTAACACTAGTCTTTCTCAAACTCCAAAAAATATAAGAGGAAGGGACACTTCCAAACACATTTTTATGAGGCTAGCATTACTTTGACACCAAAGCCAGACTAAGACACCACGAGAAAACTGCAGGCCATATCCTGATGAATACAGATGCAAAAATTCTCAACAAAACGCTAGCAAACTAAATCCAACAGCACTTAAGAAAAAAAGTATAAACCATGATCAAGTGCAATTTATCCCTGAATTCAAGGAGAGTTCAACATAAAAAAAAATCAATGAATGTGATACACCACATTAACAGAATAAAGGATATCACATGATTGTCTTAATAGACGCAGAAAAAGTGTTTGACAAAATTCAGCACCTTTCATGACAAAAACTCAACAAACTAGGAACAGAAAGAAGTTACCTCAACATGATAAAGGCCATGTATAAAAGCCCTTAGATAACATCATACTCAACACTGAAAACCTGAAAGCTTTTCCTCTAAGATCAAAAACAAGGCAAAGATTCCTACTCCTGCCACTATTCAACATAGTACTTGAAGTCCTTAGCCAGAGCAATTAGGTAATAATAATAATAGGCATCCAAATTGAAATGAAAAAGCAAAATTCTCCCTGTCTGCAGATGACATGATCTTATATACAGAAAACCTGAACGACTCCATTAAATATTTATATACATAAAAGACTGTATATATGTGTGTGTGTATATATATGAAAGACTGTATATGTGTGTATGTCCTTTAAATATATATACACACATAAAATGCTGTATATATGTAAGTGTGTATATATCTATAAAATACTGTATATATTTGTGTGTATGTGTGTATGTGTGTGTATACATATATATATTAACTAATGAACAAAATCAGGAACGTGTTTACAACAGACTGCTTTATCTAAAAAACTTTGTATGTCTTTGAACCGACCGCAAATAAATCAAAGGTACCATTTATTAATTTATCTTAGTTTTGCAACTGAAAAAGTGCAAGGTGCAATATTTTTTCATAGCTACAAGTATTCAACAAGTGTATTCTTCAAGATAAGGCAGTCTTTAGGAAGGCTTTCTACTAATTTTGGGCTTTAAGCCCAAACAATTGCCAAGTTTACTAAAAAGCAACACACTCAACATGTGGCCACCAAACCTAGGATTTGGTGAGTTACGACACCAATTTAACATTTATTTAGTCTGCTCAAAGACACACCTGTTCACCATTGCTTAAGTATAACTGCAAGGAAATGTTTACACAAGGATCGAGAGACAGTATTCTGTAGTTCTAAAATCAGAGTGTGGGATTTGGAACCACATCCCCCAAATTGTACCTTCACAGTGCCTCTTACTGTGTGACACTGGGCAAGTTATTTAACTTCTCTATACTTCATCTACAAATTTGGTATGATAATATAATCATCTCAGAAAGTTGTCTGGCTCATAACAAGTGCTCAAAATGTAACCTTGTTTTTACTTTTAATTGATATCACAGTCCAATGTAGGAAGAAGGGAAGTCTTCACTTAGAAAGCACATTTCACATCTGATAATTGCTAAATAGCCACACTGAATTGAGATCTGGAAGGAATAAATCTTCAGTAATGCAATCTGCATAATTTGGTCTCTTACACAACTGCAGAAGCCTATACTACCTGAAGCTTTAAGGAATTAGAGAGTAAAGGCAACATGTGTATTAAATAGTTCATAATGATTTTTTTAGAGACTCGAATAAAATGCCCCATTTCCTGCTAGTGAGACAGCACAATTAAGTCCGTCTTAAAAGCTTTATAATTATAAATGACTTAAACTTTCTAAAGCTTGCTGACATGTCCCTTTACTAGCTAAATGAAGGTTAATTAAATAGTTACAACTCCTCAATGAATACCTATATTTGGATTTCCTTATACATTTATGTATTGTATATTTATTCACACACTATGACATCTGGTCACAAGATAATTATTTTTTCTCAAACTAGTTATTTGCATTCTTTTCATAAGCTCAACATAAGACATTATATTTCAATTTGAGAGTAGGTAGGGGTGAGTATTATCCTTTTCATCATACAGTATACTCACTAAACTCTCAGTGACTTTTGACTGTTTCTAAAAATCAAATACAAATGGGAAAGAGCCAAAAGTCATTTTGATTCACACCAAGATTATGGACATACCATATCCTACTAGACACATATTTGCATTATTTTTTAATGCAACATTATTAGGACCCTTATCATTAAATTCAGACCTTAGACAAATTCAGTTGACGAATATTACTCATAGCATATAATTCTGATATGTTCGTTAAGGCTGCTGTATACTTTATAATTACACTTTATATATTTCAAAATACAGAGTTTATTTGTTATAACTACTGCAAAAGCCTTTGCGAAAAACTGCTATATATTTTTGCAATGATAACTTTTGTCATTATTCCAAGAGGATGTATTTGTGAAATAGCCTAAGATTTCTCAGGAAGAATACACAAAAGAATCAACAGTGAGAAACACATGAGTGGCACCTCTTACCCAGGTGAGCAGTAAATATCAAACTATGAAAGTAAGCAGAATCATCTGAGGGAACTTAGTTATCCCCTCTTCCTCCATTTGAAAATCATAAAAATAAATACTCCAATAGAAGGAATGCCTTACGGAAAGATGTATAAATGTCTAACTTTACCACCATGGCTTTTTTGTTTTTCTTTTTTTTTTTTTGAGACAGAGTCTCACTCTGTCGCCCAGGCTGGAGTGCATTGGTGCCATCTTGGCTCACTGCAAGCTCCACCCCCCGGGTTCACACCATTCTCCTGCCTCAGTCTCCCGAGTAGTTGGGACTACAGGCACCCGCCACCACCCCTGGCTAATTATTTTGTATTTTTAGTAGAGACGGGGTTTCACCGTGTTAGCCAGGATGGCATTGATCTCCTGACCTCG